CCGGACGTAATCGTCGCGTTAAGACGATGCGTCGTCGTCGTCGTGTTCTGATCCTGGCGGACACACGTGCTATTCAAGTAACATACTCGCATCAATATAAATCCAATCAAATCAAGACCTAAGTCTCCTAAGAAGATTATGATATTCTTGCTTGTATACGAGAATATCTATTCTTGATTTGGGACTAATTTTTTCCCCGTCTACGCGACGCCGACCGTATGAGTGAAAAATCATTCGAGTGACTTGGTTGTCACTTTGCGTTTCGAGTGCGGTTTAACCCGAAGAAATTTCGAGAGTAATCGGTTTCTCCTCTGATAGCCCGTTGCTTACTCGAGTCCTTATCGTCTAGCGATCAGAAGCTTCGTAAACAGAGGCTGCGACAGGAATGTCAAACATTCACCTGTCCCCGGTAGGCCGCGTCCTCCCCGCCGTGGGCAGCGTCGGACATTAGGTATGCTGCTTTCGGGAACGGTCTTCGCCTCTTATCCGTTATCGGAGAGTGGCAGATGATCGCGCTTGCCGATCGGACCGAATGATCTCGGATACACAGTGGACAGGCATGCCGTGACGCGTCCGTTCGCCCCGGACTCAAATTAAGAGAAACGAACGAGCCGCGCTCCTCGGGTATAATAGCCGGCGGGACAAGCCTCCGTCGTGTCGCAAATCACAATCGTATCGTCCGAAGATCGGACTAATCGTGAACTTCCGACCTCCGGGTGTGTCTCGCGTCTATTTCGGAGATGCCCGAAGGGGGGACTTCCTACGGACGCTATTGAGCCACGTGTGCGCTTTTGGTAATAACGATAATAGCGAGGCACCGGGGTTATTTATGTCGCGGGTGACGAACGCTCCCCGCGGGGGGAACGACACGGAAACTCAGTTAGAAAAAAAGTTCAGCTTTTAGAGAATGATAACGCCTCGAGGTTACTCATGTCTAATGGCCACCCCTTGAGTTTGACGGTGTCGGCTATATTTTTATTATTTTTATGCGATACGCGCGTAGCAATGTAAAGAGAAACAGAGAGGAAGAGAGAGAATCCTGACGGCGATGAGCGCAGTGAAAGCGGCGCGGGTCAGGTCTCTCTGTCGGAGATAGCCGGTAAATTCGTTCCGATCGAAACCCATTGTGATAAGAGGCGACATCGAAATTTAATTAAACGCGCCTCGCCGCCCGACGAAGCTTATCCCTCTAACTGTGAAGTTTACAAGCGGGTACCGTTACCACGCTTTCCACGCGATCGAACTCGAGAAAAATGAACTACGCCGCGTGTGTGTGTGTGTGTGTGCGCGCGCGCGGACACCGAGAAAACACGCAGGGAAGATTGATGATTCCGGTTGATTTGGTAACAATGTAACGCTCATGCTGGAAAAGCTGGATCGCGCGATTCACGGCAAAATTTCACCGCCGGATGAAAGGGTGTTTTCTGTACAAACAGCGTCTCGTTCGCCGAGCCCGCATTTGCCGATTAATTCCGAGAGATCGAATTATTCGACGGAACTGCTCACATCCAGCTAGAGATGTTGCGACACTATGAAGGTATCGATACTCGTGTTGATATGGGTATCTAATCAGGAATATCGGTATCATCGGTAATATCAGTGTCAGAATAAGAATGAACGATAAATAATAATGTGTAATCGGCTAAAAAAAAGTATTGATACCGATTCTGGTATCGGAGCATAGAGAAACTTAAAATTAGAAAGAATATAAGAATCAAGATATCGAAATGAAGCAGTTGTGATATGAGTACGAGTATCGGAAGGAATTATCGATATCAGTATTATATATCAGTAGTATCACGACATCCCTACGTCCAGCGTGATGTCGCATGATTATTCTAGCGCAACGTCGCGAAAGACGAAAATGCCGCGTCGGGTGTTATTAATTGACCGATCGAGCTTTATTAATGAACCAGTTGGTGTACGAGACAATCGCGATCGGATCTCGGATCGGTGAGATCTAAAGGCATTCCGAGGCGGTCGCGGTCACCGTGGAATAATATTGTCCGACCAAATTCCGGACTCGGCAACCGGACAAACTATATCTCGAGTCGTCCGCATACTGTCGCCTTATTTATTTATTTATGTTGCACTCTCGTGATCTCAGTAAAAGATGTTATTACAAGGGCCTTCCTACGATGCACACGGCGACGATTACATAAGCGTCGCCGGCAGCCCGATAATGCCGGTTTTGTCAACGCGGCTTCGACGCACCTTTTGTCCCTGTTGTTCGAAGCTGCGTGGGCGACACGAAGAAACGGCTACGAAGAGGGGGAGAAAGAAGAGAGGTTGGCTAAGTGGACGATAAAAAAGCCAACGCATTAATCGATCGATCAATAAATGGCTGCCGTGTAATAATAATAACGGCGTAAAGGCAATTTCGTCGGGCGAAAGTTCCAAAGGAGAGAAGATGAAACGGAACGTTCCTCCTTCCTGCGAAATCGAAGAGAAAAATCTGAATCGAGAATTGAAGGTTCAAAAGAGAAGTGAAAGAGTATCAATATCGTCAAAGTGGGTTTCTATTAGTCTAAGTAGGCGCAAACTATCCTTAAGGGCGACTCGGGTTCTCGTCGAATAAAACCGGCGTTTCCGAGGCATCGTCAGGCTTTGACACGTGAGAAGCGTCGTTCTCGCGGCGGTATTATCCGCGAAGAGGGCCATTGATCAGTCGGCTCGAGGTAGTTTCGCGGAAGGTGCAACAACATCGCGCGCGGCCGGCTCTCCGGTTCTCGTACTCTCTCCGGCCGCACACGCCGAACGGAGCGCCGTTAATACGATTCGCAACACGCGTGTCGCGTATTCCGGCCACCGCGTCTGCTGTTTCCTCAGCAAACACCGGCGCGCCTTCGCGTGTGGCCGGATGCATTCCTGTCGCTCTCGCGAATTTCGAACCCGTCTCGGATCCTCCCTTCGTGATTCCCCGAAGAACCCTCGTGTGGAGTACTTTCGGTAGTACTTTCGGGAGTCACGCGCGTGCGTGACGTACTTCGGGGTCTCGCGTGCACGCACGCACGCACCTTGGCAGGCACGTATTTTACATTCTGAAAATTGCTCTCTCAAGTCGAACCGGTGAAAATGGCCACTGATTGAATGAGTGGCGTTTGAAATAGCCGTGTGGCTATAAATGTAATCTTTCGACGGACCCGAGGAAGAAATGCAATTTCAAGTTTGTCCAAGTCAAATTTGTTTAAGCGTAACAAATTGGAACTGTACGTTCTCTCGATACGAGAGGAAAAACACTCCGTCAGCTGATCGGAAACCGATCGGCGTCGCGTTACCAGGTGATTTTGGTGAGCCGGCCCGTTCCCGACGTTGTCGGCGAGGCTCAAAGATCGGGTTCGTCGAAACGATCGGTCGCGGCGCGTCCCCCACGAAATCTGCAAGCTCACGCTCGTAAAAATATTTTTTTTTCGTCGCGTAACACGAGTACCTCGGGACTGGCCGGTGCCCCTTTCGGCCGCGTCCCACGAGGCATTTCGCTCGCGGGCAAACATCGCGCCGCGGTTTGCCCGGTAATTGCTGGAAACACCTCGCGAGTGTTTACAGTGTCATCGAGGCGCGGTCACACCTCGCAGCGCGGGTCCTATGAAAGCTCTTCTTCTTCGTGTCCTGTCACGAAGTGAAACACAACCCAAAGCGCACGGTAGCGTCCGAGATATTTTCATGACGAGCCAGTCTCGAGGCGAGGAATTCCAGAGGCCCGATTTCACCGAATATAATATCGATAAAATTCGACCGGTTATAATTAAATAACAGTAAGAACGACGGACAAATAGAAACCTACAAAGAAACGATTCCACTGGTGTAACTGAATTTTTCGTTGCCCGGAGACCGGACGAAAATTCGGTTGTGGGAACAAAAAGATCCTTCTAAGGAGGTTTCTACTCAGTCGAAATCCTTCTCAGTCGTCTCAATCGAGTTTCGATGCAGCCGAATGTGCACACGAATATTCTCAATCGTAGTAACACATATCGCTCCTTGTCATTGAGTTTTAATTTCTTTTCATTCAGTTTTTATCTGGCTCCTATCCCGTTGCAAGAGCCGAGTTCATTTACGCCAGGTGTTGGCCGTGACATTTATAAATCTCAGCGGGAGAATAAAATTAATAAGCTTAATTCACTGTTACACGGAAAAGAATATCAGTTTCTGCAATCGAATAGAAACCGGATGAAAACTCAGTGACAAGAAATGGTATATTTGTTATTGTGACTGAGAACATTCGCGAATACTTAGAGTTAACTTATTGCTTAACTCGAAATGTGTACAGACATCTAACTTAACATCATGAAGATGTCTTCAAGACGTCTTGTGTGCCAGTTTTAGATTTTGTGCTGTCTGAGACTTTCCCTCTATTATACGATTTAATTCTCACTTGCACACGTAATAAAGCTGAGTTACGCAATCTGTCGCGTAAATTGATAAATTTTTACTCCTTCGTTTATGGGAACAAGTATTTTCTCGCATTTCGCGCGATGAATCTCGCGTATTGTTCGAGTCGCTCTGTATGCGGAATTATCTGTGCATTAACGGGCTCATAATCACATACTTGACGCATAGCGAAACTTGGAAAAGATACGTTGCTCCTACACAATACAGACGATTGATGTCAAAACCTTGGAACGCGGACACTGGCGACTTTAATGCACGCCTATTGTACAATTATGATATAATGGTGGAACATTATTTATTCTTATTACAACTGTTCCCCGATGATGGCAACATCGTACGGACGGTATGTCATTTGCAAAATGCATGTACGCCTAAGAATGAGAATAATGGATAAATACTTATAAGCAGCGTGCGTATAATGCGTGCTGGTATTTCAGTCTGCCCATGATGATGGCTTTCTGGTACCTCCATCTATGGAAAGTTCTGACGAATTTCACAGCACGTACTCAGTCGATGAATGAGAAGACTAAATCAAGGGAGAATTCAACATCGAGTGATCTAATCTTGCGCAATCCTGGGATCTGATGTTAAAAAGGTGACACAATAAGGTGTACAGTTACATAGTAAACGTTTAATATAACTTTTAGCTTACATCTATGTACAAGCTTTCTTAACAGATAAGAATATTTTAAAGATGTCATATTGCTAATATGCAATTTGCTAATAAGCAATCTCTCCTTTTCGTTACATATATCAAAACTGAAGGAACCTCTCCACTTCCTTGTTACTGTTTTGTTCATAAAAGAATATGTATCTGCACTTATATCTGTATGATGTGCACAGCTGACAAAAAATTGCTCTCATTTACATCAGATACTGAAACAATGGTAAGGAATGAAAAAGGATGGTGACATGAGAGATTTATGTGATAAATTAATTGACTTCAAGTTCTTCAACTTCACATTCATCGTTGGATGCTTCCATCCGTTCGTGTTCACGTTCCTCAGTTGCCTCTTCCTGTTGCATCCTCTTCTTGAGACCAATTGCTGGCGAACGGATGAGAGACAAATCACGTTGAACTTCCTTAATATCTACTTCCTGCTCCAATTCTCTCCCCTTGCGCAATCGTTGCATAATGTGGAGATTCTGTCGCCTCTGCCTGATGGTTTCCACCTTCTTCATCGCTTCCACCGTCTTAGTCCACAATTCTCTGTTGTATTTGATAGGTAAGTTTCTCCTCTTCTCGAACTCAAACGACGGGTCCACTGCCAGTTCCTTGCCGAAGGTCTTCCTGTAGGCCTTGGTCCATTTGACTTTCCTCGGATTCTTCTTCTTCTTGAACGCGGCGTGGCATTTTGAACGGCAGAATCTGAATATCTGTAAAGCACACCGTTCATAGAAATATAACACACTATTTGGTCTAACATAAACATATATAATGCAATACACATATACACATACACAGTAACTGAGCAACGATGGAAGAGGATAACAAGTAGATACAATAATCACGAATCGCCAGAAACGACGAGTTAAATAACAATAAGTTGAATGTTTGCAAGATATATAACCTTACATCAGCTGATGATTCATGCACGTGACAATTTCTTCAAGTTTCTCAAATTTATCATCCATACGTCAAATCAACAATAATAATAATACACACCTTGCAATCGTTCCTTACAAACTGTATTCCGTGTCCCGGATATATCCGGGACGAACAGAAATAACACGTCTCAATACGCATGCTGCGATAAACGGTGAATTGAAACTCGCACGAGGAGTCCAAACTCGCTCTTGTGAAAATTAGACGCGGTTTTCAGCGCCATCCGATGGCTGAACTAAACGGGTGACGTCATCTCCGATTAATCGATCTTCGATTCTCCTCTTCCGTCGGAGTATCGATAATCATCAGACTGTTTAAAAATCCAATTAATTTCCCGGTGACAGTTTTATTGAATTTTATATGATCCAATTTCATAGTTAAACTTTACTGGAATACGTGGCTCGCATACGCTCGAAAGCGAATTAGTGAAGACACTTTTCCTCGATGCGTTTCGGAACGCAGCCGGTATCATGACTGGAAAATTTATCTTCCGATGATTGTCATAAATCAAATTGTTTTATGGGATATTGAGTGCAAGACTCGTCAAAGGAATATTGTGTCCACGAATTTACTTCTGGGTGTACAAATATCATTTTTCCATCACTTCAAGTTCCGCCGTCTGACAAGTCGAACGACCTATCTCTTTCCAGATGGTACCACGTTGAGTCAGACAGTCCTTTATTAATTCCTTTGAACCTCCGCTACGAGCCGCCACTGTTCTCCTACTGACAGATCAAGGTCGCAATTCAACTTAGCGGCGGGTAAATAGTTTCGAATAAAATATTCTGATACGCACAGCGCGCACGTTTATGCGACAGCGCAAATATACAATACAAATTTTTCGTGCGTTACGAAGATTATTGCAAGGGATAATCGAAGGCTCCATTATCAAAGATTCATTGAAGATTCAGGCACACATCGGTGGAAGGCGTTGTTAAGAATTAAAATCACTTATCTAATATATAATATAATACATAAACGCATTACGACAGATCGTTAGTAAATTGTCGAACGCAATAATTGCGTCTCGCCACTTTCGCCGAAGCCGTCGCAGCATCCCTATAAACATGTAATATTATTTAATATCAAGTTATATTCTTAGAATATTAGACGTAATATTATAATAATATTCTAGTAATATTATTTAATATTAAGTAATATTTTTGAAATGTTAATAGATCGTTACATGTTCATCTCTGATAATACTTAAAAAATAATATTATTTAATATCATCATAATATTATATATTTTTTAAATATTCGACTCTTAGGATATTATAAAAAAAATGTTACTTTAATATTTAATAATATTCATATAATATTCTAGGAATATTACGCGCTTATAGGGACGTCGGTCGTTGGCGCGTTGCTTCGAACCGGCAAGACTTATAGACAAGTATCGATTACGAACGGAGAGAGAGAGAGAGAGAAAGAGAGAGAGAGCTACTAATTTAATATCGGGATCGAACTCGCGTCGCGTAGCCGGCGCAGTTCCGGGGTGCTCTCTCGCACGCCAGTAACACCGAGGAGCGATTGTCGGCCGGACGTAGTGCTCTATCTCTCACCTGGCCGGCGAGAGATTTTTCGGCCGAGAGCCATGTGGTGCCACGTGTTAATCTCGATCGTCGTATTGCTGGCGTCCTTGCTCTATCATTATCACTTCAGCGAACCGGCCAGCGTTATCGATTATCCCGAGACGCATTACGACTACGTAGTCGGTGAGTTCGCTTCCCGGTTTACCGCTTATCGGGTCACCAGCGGCATCCTCATGACTCCGGGCCTTTCCCCTCCCTCCTTCTTCCCCTTCCTCTCTCCTCCCTGCTGCTCCCGGCAGTCAACCGAGAGAGAGAGAGAGAGAGAGATACGCTGCATCGATTTTTAATCAAAGAGGATTTGCGCGCCGTCCCGCAATGACAAATCGCATTGCGGCTAAATTGATAGCTGCTTCGGATATATATATATATATATATATATATGTATATATATTCCGGGATAAATGGACGAAGAATATCGGTTTCGCTCCGCTCTCGGCCGTAAATGAAATTTGAAATACGCTTTCGCGCGCCTGCGAATGCTCGCGTTAAAAAAGAACGGGAAGAATTTCCATATGAATTTAATTTAATTCTCTTTCTCTTTGTAACTCTCGATTTGTAAATTCGCACTCCCGGAGGCTCGGCTTGCGGCGAATGTCACCACGACCGGCGTTTCATCGAGTTGATGATGGCAACGCTTCGTCCATGGCATATTAGCACGAATAACAAAAAGAACTGCAGGACTTTTAACAAGGATTATTAACGATGTCAAATGGGTTTCTCATTGTTACTGGATCGAAGTCGGCGCTGGTACGTCCGGCTGCGTGATCGCGTCACGACTCTCGGAAATGCCGAACGTGACAGTCCTGCTCGTGGAGGCCGGCGGACACTTCGGCTGGCTGTCGGGCATGCCGCTCTTGGCGCCGATGTTGCAAGGCACGGAGGTCGACTGGGCCTACAAGACGGAGCCGCAAGTCTTCTCGTCCCGAGGACTCAACGACTATGTAATTAAAGCTCTGCTTCTGCCCGGCTCACCCGGCCGCGAGGACGATTTACGATTTTTAGCCCTTCCGTCCGCGAAACCGTGACTCACGACCGTGAAAAAAGATCGACACGACGATTTCCGCGATCGTCGAACGAATAATAATAATACGCACGTCGACCTGAGATCGCGTTATCGTAAATCGTTCCCTGCTTCTGCGCTTCTAAAAACGGGAAAAATAACGTTTCGAGATTTTTACGCTGATGAATACGTTCCACGTGCACTTTCGAGGGGGACACGGCGGGCGAGCGGCTTCATTGGACGCGTTTGTTTAGAGACAAAACTGGCCGAGGGGGAAGGGACTGGGCGGAAGCGGGCAGCTTAATTACCTCGTACATTCTTTCGGGAGACCCGAGGACTACAAGAGATGGCCGAAGGGCTGGTCGCACGCCGACCTGCTCCCCTATTTCCAAAAGGTGTCCGATATTATGAACGTGATCCCGATCCCAGAAGAGGAATACTTGGCGAAGGCCTTCGTATCGGCCGAAGAGACTCTGAAATTGGACAACGTGTCTCTGCGGAAGGCGATGTACACCGCGAAGAAAGGCGCCCGATGGAGCACGCACCATGCGTACCTGCAGAGGGCTTGGAGTCGCGAGAACCTGCACATTCTGACGAACACCTTCGTTGCGAAAGTAAGACGTTTCTACACTGAGAGAGCAATATGTGTAGATACCTGTAATAATAATGCCGTAACTATAAACTATAATAAGTGAATCATAGTTAGGGGCTCGTGAGAACCATTTTTTAGTAAGTTTTACCGGTTTTAATAGTGCCGGTGATAGTAACCTTACTCGCATACCGCTAACTTGTTACTACTATTTTTGCGGTTAAAATCAAAATGGAATATAGTTGAGGTTAAACAGGATATTGAGAAAAGGTGGTGCTAAATTTTAGGAGTACGTAGTGCACGTGAAAACAAACCAAACAATCTAAATAAGCGGTACTCCAAAAATCATTTGTTTCACGAGTACTATTTCGAAAAATATGTATTCCTAAAATTTGGCACCACATTTCTTTCAACATCCTGTATGTAGTCAAGGAAACCACTATAATTTCTATCAGTCTGTAACATCGCACCATGTGCGCAGCACTCGTACCTTTGCATTTTCGTATCGCATCACTATCGCATTCCGTATATCAGAATGAAACTCGAGGAAACATCTCGCGAAAAAGAAAGGAAAAAAGAGACGGATCTTGCTGCCGACCGTCTTACGAAATCTGCTGTCAAGAGAGACAATTATCCGTCCCTACCGACATTCCTCTAACTTCGCTCACGCCCACGTCTCTACCTTCGTCTCTTTCTTTCTGCTTCCATGGAAAACAGGTACTTTTCAAGAATAACAAGGTCAATGGCATTAAAGTAATTTATAAAAATGGCTCCGTCGGGAGAGTCGACGTGAGGAGGGAGGTGATCCTCTGCGCAGGCACCGTCAACACTCCGCAGTTACTTCTGATTTCCGGCATCGGGCCTGTCGTACAGCTGGAGAAGCATAAGGTGAACAGAATTTGCGCGTCACCGTGTTGCTGTGTTCCTCATGATAAAACGGCGGAGTTCGCTTTTGCAGATATCCGTGGTGCGAGATCTACCGGGGGTGGGCCGGAATCTGTTCGACCATCTGAACGTGCCGGTTTACGTGAACCTGCGGGAGCGCGTCAGTATCACGCTCGTGAAACTGCAAACCGTGCCCGAGGTGTTCAATTATTTCGCCTTCGGAACCGGTAAAAAATCGCATGAGACGCCGTCAATGACGCCGCGGCGGCTTTAATCCGCGATGTCCATTGACGCATTCCGTGCGGTCGCCCTTGTAATCTCGCCGTGCATACCTTTTTCTCCGTTGCATGTCGAAGGATGGTTGGCCACTAACGGCGTAATGGGTTTGGGGCGTGCCAATAACAGTGGCCTGCTTCTCTTCGGAGTGGCGTCCACGGAGGAGACGTTGCTGAAGAAAATCTCGAATTTTGAGACTGAGGTGAACGAACGTCGACGATGTCGTAAATTTGTATTTCTTATCAGCGGTAGCTGTCCCCTTGTACTTTTTCTCCTCGACAGAAGTATCTCACTCATGACTTAATTGACACTTTATTGAAAAATGAAGATAGGGCAAACGGAATGCACACGAAGCGTTTACATATTTCAGTTTTGAAGATCGACATAATAACGTAGTGTTTTTATTTTCTGCGCGATAGTATTCAATCACCAGAGCGGGGGGGGGGGGGGTTTTTCAAAACAAAAANGATCACTGAGGAATACTATTATATTTTCGTAAGTCAATTAGCGGAAGAAATAACTTACTGAAAAATCGAGAAGCAACGGACCGGAATAGATGCAATCATATTTCTTGTCGACGTTAAAACACGTAAAAGAATATAAGTCGGCCGTCGCAACAGTTGATAACTGTGTCGAGAGTATAAAGTCGAATATAAAACTCAGACGCACATGTGCGTCCACAGTCTATACCAGTTGTCGGACGCGTATACGCGTTCATAGCATAGTACTCAAGAGGTTAATGGTAGATATTAATAGTGCATAGATTCAAGGAGATTAACGATCCATCGATTAGACGTACAGGTCGCTATTTCCGTCTTATAACGACAGCATGCACGAGGGGTTCATCTACCTCGTGTCGTGCCTGCAGCCCAAAAGTCGCGGAAATATTACGCTGAGATCGGCCGACATTCGCGACCCGCCGAAAATTAATCCTGCGTACCTCCAGGATCCCCACGACGTCACGTGCACTTACCGAGGTAAACACGATCGTTCTGCGAAGCATCTCATTGAGCAAGTAAATCGTAGAGATGTGCGCGAGCTACTCGAATTTGAATCGAACCGGATCCCATCTGATTCGATTCGAATCCGAACAGTTCGAATATTTCGAAACGAGAAGATTTCAATACGAATCGTGCACATTAGCATTGAAAAGGACTATTAAAATGACTTGATATCATAATATATCGATATTACCTTTCCCGTATCGAAGTCTCTCCTCATTTTCTTCATGATGAATTCAATAATTATGCCGTTAATTAAAATTAAATTATGTTTCCAACGATTCGATTCAATTTCCTCCGGTTTCACTCGATTCGAAGATAAAAAGTGAGATTCGACTCGATTCGAAATCGTCGTTTTCGATCACAAATCTTTGATCTCGAGCAAATCGGAGCAAAAATACGTCCACCTGCAGCCTGTGGGAGATACGATTAATTTCGACGATTTTTTTTCCGATGCAACACCATCGAAGGTATAACCTTCGCGCTGGAGACTCTCGGCACGAAACTGTTTCGCGAATACGGCGCGAAGGTTCACGTGCCCGACTTGGAGGAGTGTCGTCATTTACGGCAGGACTACCGGGACATCGATTATTCGGAGTGCGTGATGAGGATCGCGGGTCTCACGAGCCACCATCCGTGCGGCACATGTCGGATAGGCGCGGGCGACGAGGACGACGGCGCGGTCGTGGACGAGGAATTAAGGTGAAAGAGACGACGGTGGCGGCGGCACTCACGGCCGGAAAACATTTCGCGGGGGGTGAGCGGTCAAGCGGGGGTAATTGTAATAAAAGTACATTGTTGTTTTCTCTCCAGGGTAAAAGGCGTGAGTGGATTAAGGATAATGGACGCCAGCGTAGTGCCGTCTCCAATTTCCGGCACGCCGAATTCAGTTCTCGTCGCGATGGCGGAACGCGCGTCTGATATTATTTTAGGTCGCGCGTTTAATTGAGACCCGACCCGTTTATTGTATCATACACGATTTACTAATTAAAGAATGACAACGTTCGCAGCTCACGCATTACTTACTTTTGATTATTCGCTAACGCCCGTCGCACTGATCGCCGTACCGTCGAACATCCGCTACGTTTACACGTTAATCCAATTTAATAACAAGCAATTTAGTAAACACAAAGTTACTAAGCATATAGTAACCCCTTTAAGTTCGTGTCTGTTTACTTGAACTGGTTTTAACTAATCTCCACCATAGAATTCATTTGTCTCAAATTACAACCGCGCGAGCGTACATTACAAGATAAATGAAAACAAACAATACGACCATTCCAACTTTCTTAAGTCAGCAATGTAACCGTTAAAATAATTTCACTGTCTACACGGTTCCTTAAAACTAGATCTGTAAGTCCACTTCTTTTCTTCAGTGAACGTTACTACAACTGGTATAACTTCGGCGTGAAACACTGTTCATACGGCATCTATTACGCCGGTAATTGCAACAGCGGATGTTATTAAATCGGCTTTTATACAGTCGTATAAGCGTAGCCATCGACTCGAGGAAGGCAACAATAGGTTGGAAGGTGAAAAGGAATCAGGAAGGGGGAGGGGGGAACTCGCAAATGAAAAGTGTCCGTCGTGCTCCAAGTTTTTTGTAATTTATAATTAATGGTAAAGTTTCTTCTCGTTTTACAGTAATCGAACAGTTATTAATAGTCTAATTAAATTTCGATTAATTTTTATACAAACAAAAAGGGTGAGTTACACTCAACGGCATAGCCACGAATCCCTGCCACCCCGTCCGCGCTCGGAGTATAAAGAAAAAAAGAAACTTATATATTTTTTTTATTTTTACATGCTTCGCCCGCCCCTTCCCTCTCCCATCTCACTTGGGAGGGAAACCTTCCCGTCCCAATGTTCCCGTATGGAATCGTTTGCGATGGCAGAGTTTCGACATTCTTCTTCCTATCCCACTTCCGCATCTCGTTCTCTTTCTCTCATATGCGAGTCTACGCATATCTGCAAACACACACGTCCATATACACGCATACATACACATACACCTACACACTCTTCTCCTCATCCTTCTTCTCCCCCTTTTCCTTTCTCCTTGCTCTCTCTTTCTCTCTCTCTGCCCAACACGATCTCGCGTTTTTCCTCGCATCGATCGTCCTCGTTTTTCCTTGCCGGCTCGCTCAGTCCTTCTCGCAACCACTCTCATACATTCGCACGCACGCACGCCGTTTCTCTGTCGCCTTTATAAATAAAATAGTTCATAATAACGCGAAGTGTCGCTTTACATTTTCAAAAACACAACTATGCCCTTGCGCGCCATACTTTCCTCATACCGCAAATTCTCTCTTCCTCTTGCGCGCCCATTCTCTCTCTCTCGCTCTCTTACTCTTCTCCACCCCATTTACAGTAATAATTCGTAACGTAAACTTAATCTCTCAACTTAAAACAAAATTGGTAACCACGTATCCGCGGCGCACGCCGCGAGCCTCGCGCCCGTCTCGGAGGTTACTTCCTCGACAGGTTTCATCCAAGCGCAAGAACGCGCAGTACGAACAAAAACAACGTGGCACAAGCCAAACGAAAAGGGGGGTCCATGGATCGAGCGACCCCCTCGGCGACGGTGTCTCGTCGACATTCGGTTCGCCGGCGTGACTGTCCGAGAATATCCGAGAAACCGATGCGATTCGCGCTGATCTGCCGTTAGTCGATTTAACGCCGAATCCGATTTGGCGATTCGCGCTTAATGCCGGATCTCAGCTCGGGCCTGGCCGCATTCGCTCACCACCCCCGGCAGATCGACCTGACGATCAGCGGCGAATACGCGACGGGAGTTGCCGGGAAACGCTCGTTAACGCGAGAGCTTCGCGGCATTTCTCCGTTGCGCGCACGTGTAGCCCGTCCTCGAGGCGGAAGCAACTCGCCCGGACGTGCACCGCGCCACCGGATGCATGAAGCGTCGTATTTTTTCGTTTTCTTCTTTATTTTTTCTCTCTTTCTCTTTTTTTATTTCGCTATAGAGTCCCCTTTAGTCATCGGAGAGTGTGCAGTCGCATTGCGGGACCACGACGCGCGACAGGGGTCACTTAAGATCTAAACAAGTACTCCTTAATATTAGATATATAACTATCTATGTATGTTGTGTGTGTGTATATATATATATACTTCTTCATATATATATTTATATTGAAAAATGAGTTTACTCTCTCGTTTATCAATAGGGATAGTTATCGATTAATTTGCAATTGCGTGTAACATAGACGCGTCCAGCGCATAGAAACATAAATAAATAAATATAAACGGATGTATTTACATTTGGGGTATAGGGGGAAGGAGGGGTATGTGATATCGTGGGAGGTCTGATACGGGCATATAATCCCTTCTCTATTTCTCTATCTATCTTTTTTTCATCTCTTTAAATATATATGTATGTATATATATATACGTATGTATGTAATATGTCTATTTACGTATAAATCTCATTCGTGTGCTGTTGTCCACTGTGCGTGCCGGCACACCTACGACTTCGCTCGGCGCATATATACGGCGATGATAGGAAACGAAGAACATAAATAATACTCCGCGGAAACCGAGGAACCGGAGGAACCGTAGGTAATGCGCGTATATAACTCTATCGATATATATATATATATATATATGTATATGTATATATATATAGATACGGAGTCTGAGGTAGAAGCGGTTTCGTATACTTATCATATGTCGTACTATGTGCGTAATGTATATATGTGTGTGAGCGTTGGTGAGAGGTCTTATCGGTATTTCTTCCAAGTGTTGGTATTGGCTACTCTGAGCGAACGAATTTGCAACCGACAAGGAAACCAGCGTTTCCCCGCCACCGGTTGTGCCGCCGATCGCTCCGCGGAGGAAACGAAAGGGGGGAAAGCAGCGGAAGAAACTAAACGAAAATGCGACGATCGCTCGTTGAACGCGACAAGGTGAGGATTCCATTAACCATCCGACGGTACGGTCCTCGAGTCCACCCGGGACAGACCGGGAATTCGAGGTTAAGCCTTAATATACGTCTGTGTTTTGCGGGATTTTCTTCTTTTTCCTCAAAGATATAACGCATTACATTCTACGCGTGTACACCGAAGAAAAGAAAACCGTTCGACTCGGTGGGACACAGCGAGTGCGCGTCGCTCGCGCTCGCCGACGGGGAACCGGCGAACGGGGAACGATCGGTCGCTCGACGTGCCGCTTTCGGAAAAGAAAAGCAACGGTCACCGAAAAGAGAAACGAGCCCCAGTGTGGAATAAATACGTACTACAGCGACGAGAACCAAATCGCGCGCGCGCGCGAGAGAAAGATACGTCGCGTAAAAGAAACCCGAAAGAAGCGCGTGGACCCGCCAGATAATTTATATATATATGCATAATAGCGCCGACACACACACACACGAGGCTGTCGAGCGGGAAAATCGCGAGGGGATGTGATTTCCGTTTCGAAGATTCGCGGCGGTCATTAAACAACGTTCACTCCCGGCGACATCGGAGAGAAGAAGGGTCTTAACGAACGAACGAACACACCGACGCAGTCCCTACTATACACCCGACTATTGCATCGCTTGATTCATTGATTTATGTTTATTTAAAACCTTACCGACTATTATACTTTGTAGTTTGTACTTGGTTTTCATATTCCTGAGAGAAGGACGCGCGACGCGCCGCGCACCGTCCGCCCGCCGCCGCGTCGCCGTTCCCACGTGGCCGCTCGCTGATCAACCACCCTCAACCGTCTTTGTCCGCTCGTAGCTCCGCTACTCGCTTCATTCCCTCGTCATCCTCGTCGGCCGACCTTTTGCCCTCCGGGAACGACGTCGACGACTGCGTCGGCGGCGGCGCGACACGCCGATCCGATCTTGCAAACTATCTCGCTTCACTGTGTTATATACAGAGATTTTTCGTAAGCTTCGTTCTGTGCACCCTGTATGTCGTGTGTGAGGTAGCATTTGTACTAGTGTGTGACGAAGTATTGTGTGATCCGTTATTGCGGCGGCCGCGTGGCGACCGTGGCTCGCGTCGACCGAGGCTCGCGGAGGTCCCGCCTGGGTTCCGGCCTCTGTGGCAGTGTTCGTGTCTACGTCGCCACGATGAGAGATCAGTCTTATTGTTGATAAGATAAGGTACGGGCGCGAGAGATAGGCACGCGTGACGTCTCGCGCCGCTCGAGGCTCGAGTTCGCCGCGAATTTCGATGGGCTCGCTCTCTCTATCTCGTCGCGAGAGAATGCGCGTTACAGCCCACGTACGCGCGTGACCATCCCCTCGAGCGCTCGATTTCGGCGAGAGACGCGTCGTGCGCCCTTGTCGATTGAGGTACACAGGTTATATATGGGCGAAATCGTCATCGTGATCACGTTGGGCTCCGTGAGCGGAGGCCGATCGAGCGGAAGGGAACGGTACCCCCAACGAGCTCTCAGCCTCGACGCCGTCCGGCCGCGCGCGCGGTGATTTGCTTGCTTTTCGTTCTTTCCTTATTTCTTGCTTTGCTCTGCTTCATCCTATACAATTTACAGCGTGTATAGTAAGTTTACAAAATCCACATTCTGTTTTTTTCCCCCGTTTGAACCCTTAACATTACTTTTACTTTGTACTATAAGTCGCGGCCGGGAAACGAGCCGCTCGTCCCCCGGTCCGCTCGAGGTCCCGCTCTGCGACATCGCTACGCCGTGTGTTGTTTTATTTTTTTTTCTTCTTTTTTTGCTTTTCTTTTACGCTACTTTTTCTCTCGCTCTCGCTCTCGCTCGCTCTCTCTCTCTCTCTCTCTCTCTCTCTCTCTTTCTTTCGCTCTTTCTCTCTCTCTCTCTCTCTCTCTCTCCATCTTATTCTCCCATTTTTCTTCTTTTTGTTCTTTTTTTTCGTTTTCTCTTTTGCCTCGTCGATTTTTTTTTAAATATGCTTATGCGTGCGTGATACACATGTACTATGTAATCATTATTAACTACGGTATAGTACTATTATATACTATACGAGCAAACGGTACAGTAGTTGCCGGTGCACTCTCTGCGCGCGGTGTAGGTGCAGTGATGACATCGATTTTGCTTCGCCCCTGCCTTGCCTTCTACCTTCTTTCTCTCTCTCTCTCTCTCGCGGGCAGCCCCGCGCAATCTCGTTTCCGCTTTCTTTTTTCTCGCCCCTATCCGCCGTCCCAACTCGCTTGGCTGCCCGCGCGACCCGCTATACCGATTGGTAACGATGATTCCCCGTGGCGGAAAGCCCGTTCACACCGTGATCCCCGATATCGTCACCGTGCGACGTGCCCGAGCGCGCGATTTCGCCGGCTTCCGCGAAGCCGGATCATCGCGATACACGAAGACGTCCCCTCCCGCCCGATCCCGGCGGATCGATGCACGACGACGGTCGTTTCCGAAACGATTCATTAGTTTCACTCGGCCGGCGAACCGCCACCGCCGTCGGAGAGTCTCGTTGACCTGCGCGAGTCGTTACCGTCGGAGGAGCGGTGCTACCGAATCCGCGTTCGTGTCATTCGCGCTCCTCTTAATTTGGAAGATATGATTTCCGGATCGGCCGAATACACGGTGAAACAGCGCGACGCCGCGGTATCGCGTCCGAATCGCTCGAGAATTGTCCCCGGCCGCCGGGGAACGTCGCTCCTCTATCGTCGAAAGCGCGAGCGGAGTCACGGTGTGAAGCTCACGCCTTTCGTCAAGCCTTTGTGTCACACACGACATCTATAAAGGATTCTCAATCCGTAAAACACATATTATAGAAACAACATGCAACATTTTATCCTACGCCGTGATACAATAATGGTACATACATACGCGTACGTTTGCGCGCGCGCGCGTGCGTGCCACGCGCGCAACGCGTACGCGTGTCGCGCGAGTGTGTCGTGTACGTGTGTATGTGTGTGTGTCTGCGTGTACATATATATACATAGACGAAGTATAATCTTTACACCGGGTAGTACGCCCGAATCCGACGACCGAGTGGAAATCTCGACGACGACGACGACGAGAGCTTCTTCCGCGCTTTCGACTTTCGACCGCGGATGCATACCTCTCACGCTTATCTCGACCGTAACACAGAATCCAAAATATCATCCTCGCGCCCCGGTGAGACTCCGAGGCTGACACGAATAAATTTGGGGAGTTAGCGAAAATGAAAAAAAAAAAAAGGGAAGAAGAGGAACAAACGAGAAAACAAATGAATATTCTGTAACCGTCCGAAAGCTCGTAAATCGCTCGACGCTTCTTGAGCAAATTGACACGGCGAGCTCGTGCGTGTCAAGGCGGAATCGTATTTCTCATCATCAACGATTCGAAAAGTCGAGTGAACGCGGCCCCGCTAGCCTTTTTTTCTCCCTTCTTTTCTCCGAGAGATAAAAGACCACCGCTCGCGAGAGGTAAGATTTGCTCGAGAAAGAAATGACAATTCCGGAAGGGAAATCGCACCGGTCGCTGTCGCTCGAATACATTTACGTAGTCAACGTTTCGTGACGATATACGACTAATTCTAAATTCACTTTATACTCTACGTTGATTATCTTTTAGGTACGTGTGTAATTTTTTTTGTCTCGTAATTTGTAACCCTCGACCATCGTTGCTTGTCGCTCTTCCGATGTACTGCAATGTGCGTATACTTTGTGTGCGAGTATTTTGTGTTCCTATGTCTGTACGTGTGTGCTTGTGTGTGTGTGTGTGTTTCATATAAGTGTGAAATACCTTTACTACGTATGCACTCTAAATTCTTACGTATGACAAAACAATTAAACCCTGGCTTTAACCGCCTGCCCGAAGTTCCGTGCGACGCGTTAATTTACCCTAACTTCCACATTTTTCGTCTCCTCGCCGCTCCATTGCCGATAAATCGCATCCCTCTACTTATTAAACTTAACGCTAATTCATTGTACCGCTTCTAAAGGTATCCGTTTCCCGTCCCCCCTTCCCCACCCCTCTCCTGTCTATGCTTCTGCTTAGCAGAACAGCCGAAAACAATATATATATTTTGTATATATATTAAGTAAAAGATTCATTATAACTTGGCATACGCGATCGTATCTTTATTTACACGATGGGGTATGTGTCTGTGTTTGTATGTGTGTGTGTGTTGTCCATATGTGTACGTGTTTCTCCCGTCACTGTCCCTTTCTTTCCATCCCCCCCCCCCACCCCACCCCCTTTCTCCNCCTCTTTCTTTCCGTGTAGTACGTGTGTGTATGCGCGTGTGTGTATGTCCTATCATCACATACGTAAACGACACATAACATCTTTGAATATCCTTCCCGCGGCACTCTCCCCCGAGAATTAACTTCCCTATGACTATATAATCTCCGTCGTCCAGCATCATCAACCCCATCCCCGGTTAACTTCGTGCGCCCTCGAGACGACAATCGGTGTCACCCTCGCCCGAATAATTTTCCCTTCTCCACCGTTCTTCGTTTTTCTACTCTCACTTTTGCTCTCTTTCTCTCACTCTCACTCTTCTCGCCGAGCCCACTTTTCGCGACTATTCTTTCCTTCTCTCTCGCGCATCCCGCCACTCACGATTCTCGCATCTCGCTTCTATCCAGCGGAACGAAACCGGTGCGATTCCGTTTCGTTCGCCGCGACCGTCCAGCGTCCGAGACGTAATTTCAACCACGGATTTCGCAATGCGGCTCTTCTCCCCCCCCCCCCCCNACCATCCATCCACCCGCGACCGTTGCGCGCGCGTCACACGAAACCGCGCGCGCATTTACGGCTGCTCACGCATGCACGCACGCACGCACGCACGCTCGCTCGCTCGCTCTCGCGCTCACTCACTCCTCGCTACGGTTTTACATATTGTACGTACGGTACTTCATAATGCGCCTTCGTGATCGAAAAAAAAATAAAAAACAAAAAAAAGAAAAGGAAAGAGAACAACGGATCTATTGTACGTACGGACAGACATCATCACGTGCGCGAGGATCCCGGAGCGTCTCCGTGCCGACGAATTCGGCGGGACGAAGATGGTCGTCGCGGGAGGTGTGTATCGATCGGCTCGATTCAGTCCGCGATCTGCGATTGTTCGCGAGACACGCGTTCGGAGAAAGGCGAAAATGAATCGAGCACGATCGAGCACGGGGATGAGAATCCTACACCCGCGAGCAGCTCCGGGATCCTACTTATGATCTTACTTATGTTACCCTCTGCGTTGGGGTAGCAATGGCAGGAGAACTGCTCCGACACTAACCGGACCAAGTGATAGTGCTAGCGGCTGTACGGAATGTACAGGTTTTATCATTTATATCTCGTTAATCGCTATTATGTTCCCTCTGTGTGTGTGTGTGTGTGTACATGTGGCTGTGTGCATGTGTCGGTGTTTCCGTGTGGATGTGTGCGCGCGTATGTAAAACTACGCGATTGCGAAATGATGAGGTAGTACTGTCGTCATACTTTTGGCAGAGTATACGCGCGCGCACGCGTGCGCGCACGTATTTGGCATATTATTGAACGGTATTTAAACGGAGGGGGAGGGGGGGGGGAAACGAAAAAGAAGAAAAGAAACGGAAAACTCTATCTCTCTCTCTCTCTCTCTCTCTCTCTCTCTCTCTCTCTCTCTCTCTCTCTCTCTCTAAAGGAAAATAAAACAAAGAACTAAAGAAACGCAAAGTTGTACACTCTGTGCCCCTTAATCGCGTTAACTATATTGGTATCCTCCAGCTCGCGCAAGATGCTTTTTAAATACTAAATAATTCTCTCTCTCTCTCTCTCTCTCTCTCTCTCTCTCTATCGTCTATTGTCTCTCATTGATAACTTACGGTAGGCGTATCGTTGTGAGAATAACCATTTAAACTTTCTGCAAAAAAAAATAAAAGGGAGAACAAGAGTAAACGGAAATAAGAGGGGGATAATCTGTATAAAGAGTGTAAATACTGCAACAAGTAATATCGTGGGTGCCATCCTGACTAGGAGTATATCTCTCTATATATATCTATATATAGGTAATGTGTAATAAAATCTATTGCATTGATCACATCTTATACAACCGGGATAGCAACTATTTCGCGCATACCGCGCTCACTGTGTTTCTCACTGTGATCGATGGCTATACTCTATTATCTCGGTACGCGACTATTGCTCCGGACAAAAGTCCGCATTTAAACATTGTAAACAGGTAACAAAGTGGTAGTGATCGTTTCGCCCGCGGGGGCACCGCTGCCGGGAGACTTCCGTGGCGAATGCGTGGCGAAATGCGACGGATCTCGGCGTGATCTCGTCGCTTATTCGCGGGGGACGAGGAGAGGTAAAAAGATCGGCGTCGGTGTGAAGAAAGTGATTAACAAGCGGCGATTTATCGGCGATTTATTGCTCGTTCCGACGTTCCGACCCGCGCCTCCGCATTCGCCAAGAAGTGTCGGTGGGCAGTCGCGCGCACTCCCGCGGCTAATCGCACGACAGTCGTCCGCCCTAGAATCGCAGTAATCTCATAAACGTTCTATAAAATCGTATCTGTACAAAAGGTGTGTGAGTGCGTATGTGTCGTCGGGGTGTCGTCTCGGCGCGACTTCGGATATGCGTCACCGTGATGACCATCGTTAACACGACGGTGGAGAGAATATTTGTCACGTGTACGTGTGCGTGTGGATGTGTGTGTGTGCACGGAAAGGCGAAAACGAAATGTCGGTTCTGTCTGCTGGTAACATGTGTCTGTATGTGTCTGTTGAGTAATAGAGACTATCTAGAGTAGAAAAAAAAAGAGGGGGTGGAAAGCGTCTGGTTTGGCACTGGGCGCGTGGTGTAACGTTGGATAGATATTACCCAAGTGTCACACGATCCTAGGCTCGACTTCTCTCTCAATAGCGATAGTAGTAGCAGTAGTAGTAGTAATAGTAGTAGTAATAGTAGTTGTAGTAGTAGTAGAAGTAGTAATAGCGTAGTAGTACCAGAAAGACGTATCGGTTAACGGCGTTAACGGTTTCAACGCGACGACGAGTAAATCGATTCTATGGTAATGTAATGTTGAACTATCAAAAAGTCAGCGCTCTGGCTGTTGGTGCCACGTTAGTTTACCTGAGTTCTGCATTGTTTCTCGCGTGCGCTTCGCGGAACGTCGTGCGGAACGTGCTCGCGCCAAAATATCGCCGGAACACCCTCTCGGACGCGTGCATTCGCAAACGAAATCTCGTGTACCGATGTATCGTGTGCGTGTGTGTTTTCTCGGACGCGACCTGCGCGGGAATCCGAAGGCAGATATTACCGTTTCGAGTCTTACGGATCGTCACTGAGGTAAGACTCGAGCGCACGTCTCTCGTGTATTCCGCGTGCGCATCTGACGCCACGCGTTTACGAATGCACACTCCGCTCCGAATGATCTCTCCGCTCGCTGGCGAGCGCCCGAGGTTTCCGCCCGACGCCGACCTGCGCTACGTGTAACTGTATTGACGCTCTGTATCCTCACTCGCTATCTCTTTCTTTCATTCTCTCTCTCCCTCTCTCGCTCTCTCTCGCCCGTTAAAAAGCTCTAGTTAATAAACCTTACTTGACCGTTGCACTTTCATTGACTAGTTTTGTGGTTCGTAGCGTTTTCGCGAGCGTGTCCGAGGCGCTGCTCTGTGCGCATTGTGGTTCCGCGCTCTCTCTCTCTCTCTCTTTCTATATCTCACGTCTCTTTTCCTTTCCTACAATCTAAATCCTAATCATCTCGTTTGTTTCTCTCTCTCTCTCTCTCTTTCGGCAAACGTCGTTGCCTCGTGACGCGACATTTCGACGGGAGCGCACGGAAAGGGTCGTCCTCGTGACGAGGGACCGGGACGGCGTTCGCTGGCGACGGGAAAACGAAGGTACCTACTGCAGCCTCTCCTCTCGTCTCGTCCCGTTCGCAGTATCCGTGGGCCGGTGGTCCCGTGGGTAGCTCCGACGGCTGCGGTGGCGACGAGGACGACAGCGACGCCGAAGACGTTGTTACTGCGGCACAATGTCCGAGAGCGAATGATTCGACTGCTGGAACGCCTTCAGGTTGAAGGCGACATCCTTGTGCTCCCGCGCGATGTGCCGTCTGACGGTGTTGTTCCGGGTGAACGTGCGCGTGCAATGCGGACAGTGCACCCTGATGCCTTGGTGACGTTGCCGTATGTGGGCGCGCAAGTTCGTCTCGTAGCCGTACAGTCTTTCGCAGTAGGGACACTTCAGTTTCCTACCTGCGGAGAAACAGGAGCGTTTTACAGTAATCGGTCGTTCGGCGCTTGGCACCGTCGATCGCGCGTATCCCGCCTTTTCACGGGGGCGATCGAACGCAACTCTGAAGGCCCTTCCTTCTCGCTCGTTAATTCACGCGTATGCTTACGTAAAGCAGCGAATACACCGTGAATGACGAATTAAACATTCGCTTTCGCGACGAGTCAAACGGCGAGTAGACTGAAGCAAAAAGTCAAGCACACGTCCGATCGCTGTAGCTCCCGATGAAAATGCGGACGTCGTCCGCACGCGACCGCAATACTTAAAGTGTTAATAGCGTAAGCGTTGACAGGAGAACCATTTCCACTCGGATAAATCGATTAAATGATGTATCCGACTGTTATTTTTTATCGTCCGACCAAATGACGGGCATCTTTGCCCGATGAAGTTGCCGATCAAAATAACCGATGAAATTTAATCGGGAAATTAGTCGCCTTTTGTGTATCCGTTGTAATTTTCATCGGATGGAGACACGACTTGATCGTACATACCAGGTTTGTTACTTTTTCATTGGAATATCCGGTCGGATATGATCGGACATTTTTCTTAGTGTACGGATTGATGTTCGATCGATCCAAGAGATCGACGCAGAGCACACATCGATGACGACGTAGACAAATTAGTGCAGAGAGAAAGAATATTTTTCAAGCGCGATATCTCGGGCATTCTTTTGTCACGATCTCGCCTGCGGTCCAATTTTGAAGCAGCTAGTAAGTTAAACGCGTAAATTAAACCGCTCGTGCACGAACACGGTGGCGGAACCTTCGTGGAAGGAAGCGTGGATGCAGATTACGCAAGACACCCGGCATCTCCCCTTTTTCTTTCTCGCATACACACGCATACACAGACGACACACGAGCACGCGGTTTCTTTACCGCCTGCGCAGCCGCGCTTCGGCATTAGGTCCCTCTTCGACGAGAAGAAAACAAAGTTCGGACCGGCTCATGGCGGAGCATTAGGCCAATGCCTCCGAGATTGTTGGCGCGTGCAAGGCCAACCTCGCGGTCTGCGCGGTCTTTAATACACTTCCCATCTAGCCTGATTAACTCGCGTCCGAAGTACCATTTATGGCGGCCGACTCGGCCTCCACGTTGCCGGTGAGCGCGCGCGATCGTGCCGTAAACCCACGATTTTCGCCGTAGATCATTTCATTCTTAATGCCTTTCCACTGCTATTTTTCGTAAATCCGTGGATATATTATAATGAAAGTGAGTTTTCCGAGCAAGTTGTATGCGTGATTAATACTCATCGCTTGTTAATGTTAAAAAAAGATAAAACACTGATGGTACATCGAGAGATTATCTAATATTAATCAATTCTAATCCGAGCCTAGTTCTAAATCTCAATATACGGAAAGCTACAACAAATAACCATTTGTAGCATGAAACAGGCGACCTGTAGACTGTACGTTGTGTCTATTCTTCATTGGTCCCTCATGTTCGGCAGGAACTTACAGGATTGATGTAAAAGCAACGTTTCGACTCGGAATACCACGAGCTGTAATCGTACTCGTAAACACACGTCATGACGGGAGCACATGCGATGTACACGAACGCATGCCTTGCGAGAAGTCGAAAAGACCGGCTTTTGTTCCACGTTCTTACGTCGATATTTCGCCGAGATTCGGTGAATTGCGAGTTTTCAAAAGCGACGTACTTGGCCAAGAACCGGCGGCACGCGCGTAGCACTTTGTAATATGCCCGTGCCGCCGACTTGACACCTCGGGCGGTGCGCTCGACCGAGGAATACGAGCGGCGCGCAACATTGTTGCCGGGCATCAGTCCCCTTTCGCGGAATCGCTGCTCGCCGGTATCTCAATGTGAAAAAATCGCAGCGACGCCCAGTAAATTGCATTCGAAAGCTGAAACTATTCCACTTTCAATCGGGTAGAGATCGATTTTCCCATGCCGTTCATTATTTTCACATTATTAATTATGTTTAATTATTTATATATTTATTTATTATTTATTTCCATATCTAATTATTCTTATATTTAGTTATTTTTTAGAAGGATCCTATTCTGGGAATTTTATTCTGGAATATTAAGAGAACTATTTGAGAGATGTGCTGTGAAAAAAATTAAGTATATGATTAGGATACGGTAAATTAATTATACAAAATTTTCAACATCTTTTGGGGATAATTTAATTTAGTGATTTGTCGATATGAAACAAAACGTATACAAGAGTTTTTTAAGGTTATACGGTATGTGGCACGTTGCTCGAAAGTTCTACGTGATGCGGAAAAATTAAGAGCGTATTCGAGTTGAGGCTAAAAAATACAGTTAGGTGGTTGAACCGCGATATAATGCCAGCCACGAGAGAGAAAAGAAACGAAGCGATTTTTTGTCCAAGTCATTAGCGTTCTCTAACGCTAACGACGCTATACGACCGTGACTCCGTCGTCGGCGCTCATCTCTCGCGATGTAGCAAGAAGTTCTCTCATTGTAAGACCGAGGAAGCCCGCGCGTTATATCAATGACGTTTTGTCCTTTACAGGCGAAACGCGCGTTAGTCTATTCGTCCGTTAGCCCATTCGTGCAGTGCTCTCAGATTCCTCTTTGTTTAATTAAAAAGAAGCGGCGGCACCAAACGTAGCCCTCGGCCGCTCGGCTGTGACATCACCGGTCTTTAACGGTGACGTCATCGCGTGTGCACGCGCCTAATGATAACAATTTTCTAACGTAATTCTATGCTAAATCACAATCGCGATGAATTGGCCGAAATCGTGTTTGCGTTTTACCGCCGTAATTGAACGAGCCCATTCACCGGGCTGCGTGACACACGGTGTTATTAGTGAAATTATATAGATTAATCGGGAACGCAGTTCGGAAGGGGGGGAGAAGAAAGCGCCAGACCGGCCGGCCGAGAGCCCGTGGTTCTCTTAAAACGAAAGGATTCTTCGGCCGCCGCGTGTGTTTCAGGTGTCACGAGAAACCACGCGCGACCGGACCCCGAGAGATCTCGCCCGCGAACGAGCCGGTCGCACGCTAGACCGCCGTAAAAATCGTTACACGGCCACATGCAACGCGTAAATAATCATGGGTGTGAGCGGGCGTTGCGCGCATGTACGCCGGACGTCGTGCGGCCTGTAATGATCGCCGGCGAAATCATTTTCTACACAGCCGCCGTGGATCGTCGCTTTTTTGTTTTCCACGATCTTCGAAGGCCTCCTCCGGCCTCTGAATTCCGAATATGTGCCCTCACTTGTGTGCGGTGAATCATTTTGCGGTTAATTGTTTTTTCCGTCAAACGGCGGATCGCCCGTTGCAACCATTTCATTCCGCCGAACAACGCCGGCGTCGAGATTTATTTGTTTTCTTCTATTACGAGAATCGCGCTCTACGTCAATCCGCCGCGAGAATGGCGCTGCGGCTCGTTTATCGTGAAAGGCGCGTCGTTCCGACGAGCGAGTACGACGATACAGATTGCGGCGCGAAGACACGCGCGCGAGGGTTACGCGCCTTACGTGCGCGGAATCGCACTCCGGCCTCTCGCGCAGCAGCGCCTAAAAATAGAGGGCCGCGGCATCCTAGAAAACGTAAACGGGGCCGCGGGGCTCGATCTCGTGCAGCTGACTATGAAATTCACAAAGGACCCGCGCCGGAACAAAGGCGCGTACGCGCGAAGACGCGCGCCGGAAAAGAGCGAGGGAGAGAGAGAGAGAGGAAAGGAGGAGGAACGGCCAACTTTAAAGTAGTGTAGTAAAAGAAGAAGAGATGGAGGAAGGGGAAAGAAAGAGAGAGAGAGAGAGAGAGGAAACGAGCTAGAGGAGGTACCCTCATCAAGAGAAGGAGGAAGGGCGGCCGGGACGAAGCCGCGGGGTGGGTACGCCCCTGAGACATGCAGAAACGCAAAACGGTGCCGGCCAGGAAGCGGGAACGACCGCTTCTGGGAAAGGCACCGCGCCATCTGCGCCGCCCAAGAAATCGCTGATCCTCGGGTCTCGTGTTTATCGATGATTACCGCGCACATAACTCCGTTCCCGAGGTGCGAGAAAGAGGGAGGGAGGAGGGAGAGAGAGGCTGTGCGCGAAGCCCGAAAATTCGCTTGGAAACGAATATTCCGCGCAAGATCCCTCGGCGGGGCTCGACGAGAAGATCGTCCTCGAGGAGGAGAATCGACGGTTTAGCAACGATATTTCGTCCGCGGACTCGTCGACGAATCTTTCGCGGGACGATCCTTCCGTACAGTCGGGCGTTATTAAATCGGAAAATAATTAAACGATCCCATTGGATCAGCCGCGAGCTCTCGAATCATCGAGGCGATCGCGAGTCGATGCGGTCTGGAAGGCGATGGAAAATATGGCAATCCCGAGCCGGCCTTCGATTCTCGGAGGACTCGTGCGTGTTTGACCGAAGGGCTCGAGGAGGAGGGGGGGAAAAGGCACCGGAGGCCCGCGGGAGTGGGCGGGTAAGGACGAGAAAGAGACGGCGGAGGAGGGGGTAAAATGGAAAGGTTAAGTTACGAAACGCAGCAGCAACCGCCGCCGCCGCCAAGGTCTCCCCCACCGGCCCTCTCGCACCGGCCTCGCGACGACCTGACCCTTTTTTCCCTTTTCGGCTGAATGGATCGAACAAACGTGTAACGCTGAGAAACGTGTAACACGACGGGATACACACAGCCCTACCGCAACGCGATTTGCTTCGATCGATGCCGAGCACATATCGCCGTTATCAGAGGAACTCGGCCGGCTGCTCGTCGTCCTCGTCGGCCCTGGTTTTCGTGCCCTGCTGATCTCATCCGCGCGATATCTTACAGCCTAGGAAAATAACAAACCCGGGGGGGGGGGGG